GTATCAGAAACGCTTGATGAAGATCAGGATAATCAAACGAGTCTAGTGAAGGATGTGAAGTAGGTGAAGGAGACGGTGAAATTTTTGCGAGCCCACCTAACTAAAGACGAAGAACCTTCCTTCTCACGTGCACCATCAAAGATCTCAGCTGTTAGAAGCAAACGCTCTCCAGCTCAAGTAAGGGGTAATACACCGCGAATTGCCTTATGGTATTACCTACGTGACCATGGAGAAGACATGGGGAAGTGGCACGGTCAACCTACTCCTGTACTACAAGCCCGGGTGAAAGAATTACAAAGCAGATCAACCACCAGTTCAGTTGCTCCAGTTACCACAGGTAATGAATAGAGGGGCCCTGCCCTCAGTCAGGGGGGGGAAAGGGATAATAGAGTATATTGGACTGTGTGGATTCGATGGCCTGGCACATCAGAACCACTGAAATATAAGGCACTGGTGGACACTGGTGCACAGTGCACTCTGATGCCCTCGAGTCACCAAGGGACAGAATCAATCCATATTTCTGGATTCACTGGGGGCTCTCAAGAATTGACTGTGTTGGAGGCTGAGATAAGCCTCACTGGTAAGGACTGGCAAAAACATCCTATTGTGACGGGCCCATGGGCTCCATGCATACTAGGTATTGATTATCTCAGAAGGGGGCATTTCAAGGATCCTAAGGGGTATCGATGGGCCTTTGGAATAGCTGCTGTGGACACATACAACATTAAGCAGCTGTCTGTTTTGCCTGGCCTGTCAGAAGATCCATATGTTGTGGGGCTGCTGAGAGTAAAAGAGCAACAGGTACCGATTGCTACAAAAACGGTGCACAGGAGTCAGTACCGCACCAACAGGGATTCTTTGCTCCCCATTCATAAGTTAATTCATCAATTAGAGAGCCAGGGAGTGATCAGCAAAACTCACTCGCCTTTTAACGGCCCCATACGGCCAGTGCGTAAAGCCAGTGGAGAATGGAGGCTGACGGTGGATTACCGTGGCCTGAATGAAGTCACACCCTCACTGAGTGCTGCTGTGCCGGACATGTTAGAACTCCAGTATGAACTGGAGTCAAAAGCGGCCAAATGGTATGCCACCATTGACATTGCTAATGCCTTCTTTTCCATTCCTTTGGCCAAAGAATGTAAGCCACAGTTTGCTTTCACCTGGAGGGGCATTCAGTACACCTGGAACCGTCTGCCCCAGGGGTGGAAACACAGCCCGACCATTTGCCATGGGTTGATCCAAACTGTATTGGAACAGGGCAGTGCTCCTGAGCACCTGCAGTACATTGATGACATCATTGTGTGGGGCGATACAGCAGAAGAAGTCTTTACAAAAGGAGAGCGAACGATCCAAATTCTTCTGAGTGCTGGTTTTGCTATTAAGCGAAGCAAAGTGAAAGGACCTGCCCAGGAGATTCAGTTCCTAGGCATAAAGTGGCAAGATGGCCGTCGTCACATCCCGACAGATGTGATCGACAAAATCACTGCCATGTCTCCACCCACTAGCAAAAGAGAGACACAATCTTTTCTGGGTGCAGCGGGCTTTTGGAGAATGCATGTTCCAAACTACAGCCTCATTGTAAGCCCCCTTTATCATGTGACACGAATGAGAAATGAGTTTACATGGGGCCCTGAGCAGCAGCAGGCTTTTGAACAGATTAAACAGGAGATAGCCCGTGCCGTGGCCCTGGGGCCAGTACAGACAGGACAGGGTATAAAGAACATCCTCTATACCGCTGCTGGAGAGAACGGTCCCACTTGGAGTTTGTGGCAAAGAGCCTCAGGAGAGACTCGAGGCCGACCCTTGGGATTCTGGAGTCGGGCGTACAGAGGGTCTGAAGAGCACTACACTCCAACTGAGAAGGAGATCTTAGCTGCATATGAGGGGGTTCGGGCTGCTTCCGAAGTAGTCGGTACTGAAACACAGCTTCTTCTGGCACCTCGACTGCCAGTGCTGAACTGGATGTTTAAAGGAAAGGTTCCCTCCACCCATCATGCTACTGATGCCACTTGGAGTAAGTGGATTGCACTGATTAAACAATGAGCACGGATGGGGAACCTCAGCCGTCCAGGAATCCTAGAGGTCATCATGTTCTGTGATTCTGTACTGCAGCCTCTTTAGCGGCAATGTGTGGATGTGTGAACTTGTGAACTTTGAATCTCTCATTCTTCATCCATCGCCTTCTTTTGCTAACTACTACTACAACGTAGCTCCCCATTTGGTCACTGCATTTTGCCAGCTTTGATTTGTCACCAAATTCTCAGCACAACCAACATTTTGTTATCACGACGTATGCTTTGGAATAATACTCTTCCCACTGGAAAATTTGTTTTTTTTCTTTTATCTTCCTTTGTCCAAGTACAGGGCAGCCCTCCCTGTAAAGATTTTCACTGGCAAGGTTCAAAAAATAGTCACACAGAAAAAGAAATCAAAGCTTTAAAATACAGCCTGCAACAAACCCCGGAAAGTATTTCCAGCAGTCATGGGAAGCAAGAGCAGGGCTGTAGAAGGGGATGAGTTTGCACACTTTTCTATAGCTGCTGCTGGGCTGCCCCTGCTCCTGTATGTATTTTGTCTTCCATCTCTAAAAACTGAAATGCAAGGAAAGAAAAGGAAACAAAAAAAAAAAAAAGAGGAAAAAAACACCAAAACCCTGACTGCCTTGAGATAAAGCTTCTCTGGGCAGCTGCCGTGCATTTCCAATAGCTTTGCATCCATGTGCAGCAGGGACTGAGAATCAGAGCCTGGTTTGTGAACTCTGCTCACCTAGCTGAGCACTGGGGGTCCTGTTAGACCGCTGAGAAGATCCTTGTGTTCACTCCAGATGCTAAATTCAGGGGACAAGGAGACAAAACTTAGGAGGGCTCAGAAAGCCACCTTTGACATCAGTCAGCTTTTCAGGGAGCTTCAGCTGGTCAAGAGCAGTATACCTGATGCCCAGGAGTCACAGCCTCTTCTGTTGTAAGCACTCAATGAGCTCCAAACTTGTGCATCTTTATGATTGCCGAGAGAAGCTGTGGATGCTCCATCCTGGAGGCATTCAAGCCCCTGGTGGATGGCGTCCTATTCTAACCTTATATTGTAGCAAGTGGTTGGATCTAGTTCAGCTTTTAAGGTTGCCTCCACACCAAGCTTTCCTGTGATTCTGTGGCAACCATCTCTGCCGTAGTACCGCTGCCATGAGCTGAGCGTCTTATCTTCAGTGTTTGTCCCAAGAGCACGGCTCCTCCAATCTACTTCTGTGCTGCATGCAGTAGGGAAAACATTAATGGTGTGCATCATACCTCGGCTACAAACTAAAACTCTTTCACACTTGCAGACACAAAGCTTACTTGAAACAAGAGAAAGAAAACCCCCAGGCTTTTATGGTTTACGAACCGCGGACTGCCCAAGCACGTTCCTTCCAGCACAGCTTGAGCTTTTGTGACTGCAGATAAGCTCAGCTGAAAGCTCTCTTCCTTTGGTGCCTCTTCACTGCAGTGCCCTTTTGGCCATTTTTATTAGAAAGCCCTTTAGATCAAAGGTTTATTAGGAAGAAATATTGCTTCATTGTAGGATGAAGGGAGTGATTGCTCCCCACTGCTCCACTCTGTGTTTTAAATGGGTCCTCCATGTGGTGTAAGTGAGATCCACACGTAGATGATGCCCAGCTTATTGTGGTTTAGCTTGGAGTAGTGAAAGCTCTACGGAAATATTTCTGTGTCCTTGCAGTGCTTGAAGGGAGTCTTGTGTCTCCCAAGCAGTTTTATCTTTCCCTCTGAACAGAAAATAGAAACGGGAAAGTGAAGTCTTCTGGGAGTAGTTCTTCTTTTCTGTGAAAAGTACCCTGGAACAGGTAACAATCCATGGAACTGGGGTGTTAATTCTCTAACTCCCAGTGCACTACGTGATATCATGATGTGGAATACTGATAACAGAAATCGTAAAACCATGACATGGGTGAACCCATTCTTTTGTCTTTTACAGCATTTGTCTTATAGTGTACAGAACTAAAGTTCATTTGTTGGATGCTGTTTTACTGGCCTGGGACTCATAAAGGTTCTAAGAAATGTAACGCAATTCTTATTGTATCTGTTCCTCCCACTCACTTCACTTCTAATATGACCATTATGGACTCCTTTGTGCTTCTCTTATGGCTACCAAGAACATGTCTGTCTCCACATGTAATCTTTACTCTTCAGAATGTGTATGCGTGTTTCTCATCAGAGATGGGGCAGGGGTGTAACATACACAACTTCTCAGAGAATTGATGGGTTTTTAGCAATCCATGGGAAGAAACCCCGGAAGTTAGCATGGAGTAGATTTCATGGATGTTTCCAGGCTGAAGTCAGGCTTCTTCCTGATTGCTAAGTTGCAGTGCTTACTGCATTAGCCTGGAACTGACTGCCCAGGGATGTGGTGGAGTCACCATCCCTGGAGGTTTTCAATAAAAGGGTAGATGGGACTCTGTGGGACATGGTCTGGAAAAGTCATAAGCATGGGTTGACAGTTGGACTAGATGACCTTAGTGGTATTTTCCAACCTTAATGATTATATGATTCTATGATTTTCAATCCCAAGACCATGACCACCTCACTTCCTGCACACTCGAGTGTTTTCCTGGAAGGAAGCACCCCCACTAATCCAAAGGGTGAAACCCAGCCAGGGGATCAAGCCTTCTTCTGAAAGATTTGCTGTATACATACTCTTATATCATGCTCCTAACCCATACTTCTGCAGCTAAGATTGCACTGTAAATACAGACGGAGCCTTCTTGCAGGCTATTAGCTTGAAGTGAGGTAGCATTTGTTGTTTTAGAAATATTCTTCGAGAGTTAACTGAGGTCTCTTCTCAGGATGAGAGTCTGCAGCCTGAACTGAAATAATATCTTTACTGAAGCTGTAAAAAATTCATTAAAGGAAGTAGAAATATCTTAACGATAACATTTATAAAACATCAAGGATGGCGTGTGAAGGAATGTGTGGTTTTCAAGTGCTAATTGAAGAAAGGCTTGAAAGTGGTGCATATTTGCCAGGTTTTGGCAAATTAGCATTTTATTTCAAGACTCTCTCAGTGAGTTACAGAACTCAGGGAAAAAAATAATTAAGGTTGTCTCTGGTTCATGCTACATGATTTTTGTGAATATTTAACATTTTGTCAGTTGGTTAAGTCCCCATTTCCAAACTGATCTTTTTCTCATAGTTACCCAGAAATCAGGCTCTCACATCCAGCAAAAAATCTGAATGGGCTCATCCAAAACCACTGTCATGAAGAGAAAAAGACTTAATTTCCTCTGGGGAAATCTCAGACCTGTCAGGGAGACAGAAGAACTGTAAAGAATGAAATTGTATTTTATTCTTTTTTTCTTCACCCCTTTTTTTGTCTGGTCAGGACTCTGATCTTCCCAAAGGGGAAAGGTATAAGAAACATCAGCAAGTACCTCTTAACCAGCATTATTCTTGGAAAAGGATTCTTGTTGCAAAGCTAAATCCAATTCAATTCAATTCAGACCTCAGGCATTGTGCCCAGGCCACAATGGCCAAAAATTCAAATCTTCTCTCGAGCCTGGAGGCAGTTGGATATGGCCTGATGGCAGTTGGATATGGATATCTGTAAGAACAGATAACTGTTCTTACACAGGATGTGTCCAAGCCACAGATCTGCACATAATGTGCTCCCAAAGTTCAGCCCTATGCGGAAATACAGAGAGTAAGCTGAAGTTGTACTTCAACTTTATTCTTAGACAGTAAAAGAAAAGTTTCATTTTCAAGGAAGAGATTTCTCAGAAAAGCAAATTTGGAGTCTTTAACCCACTTCTTTGTGCTGGTATGCCTCACCTGGAGTACTGCACCCAGATGTGGAGTCCTCAGTACAGAAGACGTGTAGCCCTGTTGGAGCGTGTTCAAAGGAGGGACACGTGTCAAAGGCCTTATTGAAGTCCAGAATGATGACATCAGTGACTCTTCCCTTGTCCACTGATGCAGTGACACCTGCATAGAAGGTGTCATAGAAGGCTACTAGGTCGATCAAGCAGGATTTGCCCTTGGTGAATTCAGTCTGGTTCTCCCATATAACCTCCCTGCCTTCTATATGTCTTAGCATTGCTTCCAGGAGGATCTTTTCCATGATCTTCCCTGGCACAGAGCTGAGACTGACAGGTCAGTAGTTCCCAGGATCTTCCTTTTTACTCTTTTTAAAAGTGGATATGTTTCCTTTTTTCCAGTCACCAAGGACATCACCTGATTGACACAAACTTTTCAAATATCATAGAGAGTGGCTTGTCAACTGCATCAGCCAATTTTCTCAGGACTCTGGGATGCATCTCATCAGGAGACATCATCCATCGTAGACTTGTGGATTTTCAGGCTTCTTAGGTGGTCATGAACCTGATCTTCACTTAAATTGGGAGGTTCCTTGCTTCCCCGATCTCCTAACAAACAAAATGTCTGGGGGCTGCGTGATGAGAAGTTATCAGGGAAGACCATAGTAAAAAAGAAAAAACAACAACAACAAAAAAATTACCTCAGCTTTCTCCTTGTCTGTTGTTACCAGCCTGCTTGTGTCACTCACTATGGGAGGGTACAGCCTTCTGGACTTTTCTTTTCTGGTTAAGGTGCCTGTAGAAGCTTTTCTTGTTCTTTTTGGCATCCCTAGTCAAAGTTCAGTTCAAGCTGAGCATTGGCCTGACCCCATCCCTCCACAGCCTAGCAGCTTCCTTACAGTCTTTCCACAGTACCTGTCCCTGTTTCCACTGTCTGTGCATTTTCTCCTTGCTCTTCAGTTTGACCAGCAGGTCCCAGTTCAGCCATGCTAGTCTCTTGCCTTCCTTTCCTGACTTGCTTCACCTCAGGATGGAAAGCTCTTGCACCCTAAAGAAACCCCCCTGGAAGATCTACCAGCTCTGCTCTGCACCCTTGCCCATGAGGACAGTCCCAGGACGTTTTGTTGACTCTCTGGAGAGCTGGAAGTCAGCTTTCCTAAAGTTTAGTTTCTTAATTTTACTCTTCATCTTTCTCCTGTCCCTCTGAGCTCAACCATAGCATGGTCACTACAGCCCAGAAAGACTCCAATCTTGATATCACCAATCAGTTCATTTGCATTGGTGAGCAACAGGTCCTGTACTGCATTCCCTTTGGTGGGGCTGTCAGTTACTTGACTCAGGAAGTTATCCTCAATGCATTCCAGGAGCCTCTTGGATTGTCTCCAGCTCACTGTGCTACTTTTCCAGCAGATGGTGGTTGAAGTCCAGCATTAGATATGGAGGTTGGCAGACTTGCCTGCAGCAAGGGGATTGGAGCTTGATGACCCCTGAGGTCTCTTCCAACCCAAGCCATTCTATGATTCTATGATATAAAGTCTCCCAGCAGGATGAGCACTTTCAATCCCAAAATCTCACATAGCTGCAGGGTGAAAGCCTCATCGACAGGGTGTCACCGATCTGGTGGCCAGTAGTAGACATCGATCACAAGGCTCCCTTTGCTGATTGAGTCTCCAATTGTTACCCATTGGCTCTTGACTTGCTCATGACTGTGGGATAACTTCGCATTTTATTCCTTTCCTGATGTAGACAGGAACAACCCCACCCCTCCTTCCTTGCCTGTTCCTTCTGAACATCTTGTAGCCATTGATAGCCACACTCCAGTTGTGGGAATCATCCCAAAAGGTTTTGGTGATGACAACTAAACCATAGCTTTCAAGCAGCACAGTAGCTTCTAGTTCCTTCTGTTTGTTTCCCAGGCTGCATGCATTGGTGTAGAGGCAGCTGATCTGGGCAACTGATCTTGTTGCTTCCATAAAGGACAACTCCTTAGTGCCTTCTAGCTGTTTTCCCTGAATTTCCCCATTGCTTTCCCCTGTTGCCCCACAGTCACGGCCTCACTATTGTAGAGTTTTGTATGTGCTGCAGTGTTGTCGATATCCCATTGAAAGGAACACTCTCAGGAAATCCAAAGCACAGCCTCTGGCTATGCTTCTGTAGATACTTGTACTCCAGATAGGCAATCTTTGGCTGTCCCCTCTCATTTCAGTGGTAAAGTCAACTCAAAAAATCCCAGCCTCTCTGCAGTTCACCACCCTCATCAGTTGCACTGTGTTTTAGAAGCTTTTTTATACACATAATCAGCAAAATGGTCTGAATTAAAGGTACACCCCATCACACTGGTAATTTAGGGACATTTTTCAGTGGGCATGGTGGTGATGGGTTGATGGTGGGACTAAATGATCATAGTGGTCTTTTCCAATCTTACTGATTCTATAATTCTACAAATTACTTGCAGAACTCCCAAGATAATGTACCAAGACTGTAGCAAAGCCAGTCAGTAAAACAGGAGTTTCTGTCCTCTCTTAATCTATCAAATCATTCTCCAGTCAGGATGGAGTTCCACAAACAGTCCGTGAACTAATTGGTCTGGGATGGGCTTTTTACTCTACCAACAGAGTAGGAAAGTGATTTTTTCAGCTGTTGAACTCTTTGCAGGACTAGAGAGCAGGGTCTGGCCTCTAATTTCTTGCACTGGTAAAAATGAGCCAGGATATCATCAGTGAAATCTGTAGGCTCTGCAGGAATCCAGGGTGACGTATAACCATCATCCCTGTAGGATGTCAAGAGGGCCCATCCTGATGTAGGATGACCATTTCTGTAGGGATAGTGGGACCTATAGGAGGTTCCTTTACATTTGCCTCATACTGCAGAAGAAGGAATGGCCTTGCAGGATGAAGATGTCCTCTAATGGACTGATTTGCACAGCTGAGGTGTTCTAAGGGAGAGGAGAAAGGCTGAGACATGCCTCTTCATGCATATCCACACAGCCTGACACAGCCCTGGAAGCCTTACCTGCCTGCCTCGCTGGCTCAAGGGGCCAGATATGAGCTAAGCAAACACTGTCTGAGAGCCCCAGCTCCAAGCCAAACACAGCATGCAAATAATAGCACAGGCCATGTAAGGTATGAGGTTGTTCCCATTCATTCAGAACTGGAAACTGAACATCTCATGATAACGTAGCTAAGGTGCTTACTAAAAATATAAAGTTATTATCCTGACAACAGCTCCTCAGAGTAAAGTAATACAAAGTCTTGGTTGTTTCTAAAATTGGTACTGGCCACTTGCTTGTGAACATAACCTAGAAGTGAATGTTAAATATGACAGATCTTTTAAAAACAATTAAAAAGGAAAAAAAAGGGGGGGGATAATTTGGCAAGAATAAGGACCAGTTACTCTGTAATCAGCAGAGATCTATTCTGATGGCAGTATGAATGAAACCTGTTTGAAGTATCAGTTAAAGAAAATTTTCTCTAGGGCTCTTGTTTTCAGAAACAATTCCTCTATCAGATGAGAAATAAATTCAAATAAAAAAATGTACGTGTCATCCTGAAAAGGGCAGATCTCTGCACCCTCCTCCCACTCATGCCACAGTATCTGTCTGCAGACATTCCTTATCCTCTGCATTACACTGGGGACTTGGGGATACAAAACACCTTAAGGGGCAAGTCAGTGGAAGAAACCAATGTTGTGTTGCTGTAAAAATTAGCAGATATGCTCACATGATTTTTCTGATGCACAGGACTGCCACTGAATGCTTGTCATCATAGAATCATTTGAGTTGGAAGGGACCTATGAAAGTCTCTGTTCATGTAGATGTCCGTGTTCATTGCAGAGGAATTTGACTAGTTGATCTTCATTTGGTCCATTCCCCTACAATGAACAGGGACACCTACAGCTAGAGACAGAGAGGACTCATTTCATCTCAGAGATGACCAGAATAGATCAGAGGAATGTGTCCTCCAACAGGCTATTTTCCTCCACTGACTATAACAGGAGACAAAAGACATCTCAACTAAAGATAAGTGAGATGGATCCCACCCAACAGCAGCTGCTACAAAGCAAAGCTTGGCTTTTTCAACCAGTGATTGTACAGCACTGCTGTAAAGGCATCCAAGGCCATGGCAACTTTTCAAAAAATGTAACAGAACTAAAAAATGAATAAATAAATAAATAAATAAAAGAGGCATGGGATATGGAAACGAACACTATTTCCTGCACTCAAATTTCCTTCTCAGTTCAGTGCAAGGAGAAGCAGATGCAAATCAGATAGAGCTCTTGGCCCGGAACCAAGTATCCCACCTGATCCTGAGCCAGCAGCTCCCCAGAGCTCCGAGCTCCGTGCCCTTGAAATGAGGAAGCCCTGCAACACACAGCCTTGCCCTGAAGTGTTTGGGAATTGGAGCCCAAACACAGTGATGACTGCGGCATGTTGTCCAGCGCCACATTGCACACTGAGCATTTTGGCCAGCTGCGTATGAGACAAGGCGACAGTTGCCAGTAGGCATTGCAATGGGCTGGAAAACTCCCAGTACTCCAAGACACCCCCTTTTTTTGTTTGTTTGTTTTTTCTTTGTTTTGTAACAAAAGAGTTTACTTGCTTTTTCAAGCAGAGGGGGAAAAAAAAAAACAAACAACACTTTGTCTTCAAGGAATATGGAGAACCTTTTTCAAGAGATGATAGATGGAAATGTATAATTGATGGATACTGAGATGCTACAATCACAAAACAAACAAGAGAGGTGAAGTGGACTATGATAACAACAGAGAATAAATGGCTTACCCTTATGCTGGGCTCACCACAAAACACCAGGAGGGATCTCCAGACAAGATCCTTCCCCAGTGGCAGTCAGCTCTTAAACAGGTCTAGGAGGGGTGCAGCCTGGCTCCACCCCTTCCGGCAGCACAGCTGAATTGCCTTCACCTGTGCTCCTCTGGTTGACTCATGGCTCACCTCAGGTGATCAATCAGAGGTTCAGGCCGTGACTCAGCAGTTCCCATACAGGTAAGAACCCAAAGTCAAGAAAAAAATGAATGGGTTCTCAGTGAGCATAGGGTAAAATAGAGCAGGATCACTGAGAAACAGAAAATAATAACAGTAATAATAAAGACCTTAATTTAGTTCAACACTATGCACTTATTTTATGCATCTTTAAATCTGGCAGTCCATAACACTTAACTGATCCATGCTGCTAAGTTCTCCTTTTGTTGATGCTGCTCATCAGTGCTGTGAGTGTAGATGTGTTCAGTCCACGTGTTATGCTCGTGTAGCATGGAAATGGCATGGAAGATGCCCTGGCAGAGTCACAGAATAGTTTGGGTTGGAAGGGACCTCAAAGATCATCTAGTTCCAACCCCCCTGCCATGAGTAGAGTTGCCAACCACTAGATTACACACCAGGGCAGGCTGCCCAGGGCCCCATCCAACCTGGCTTTGAACACCTCCAGGGGAAACTTCTCTGGGCAGCCTGCACCAGCATTTCTTTGATATTCCAATTGTCACTTCCTTCGTCAAGATTGGTTTTCATTGATCAAGGAAATGTTCTTCCTTGCTGTGGTGTTTTCACTCTGATGGGCAACTATGTCTTGGAGAACAAAGTTTCAATGCAAGTAACAATTGTTTAGCAGAATGAACATTTTTATTACGACAGTCCCCCCCTCTTCCTCTTTCCTCATTTTTACTGCCGAGTATAACACCCTACAGTATGGGTTTAGGTCAGCTGTCCTGGCCTCACTTCATAGCTCTTCCTGCACAGGTTTCTTCAGGCTCTGGCATACCTCAGATTTACCTCATCTCATCTTCTGACACATTCTTGTCCTGTTCTGTCTCTGCTCTACTCTCTATAAACCAATTTTACTTGCCAGTGCGGCCTGGCTAATCCTTCTTTAAAGAGAAAAAAAATATAGTAAGTATTTTCTGTGGTTTCCAGTATTTGATTTTTTTCCCTCTGAGAATTCAGAGATTTACTCCATCCTTCCTTTCACATGCACAAAATTGCCAGGGTTGCTTTTTGCATCCCTTACTACCTGAAACTACTGGAGTGTCTTGGCTTTTTTGATTGTAAGTATACAACCATCATCCATATTTCTGTAAGGTCACAAAGACAGACCTCTCCAGACTTTTATTCAACCAAGGCTTTGGGAAAAACAGGTGATCCTTTCCCCCTCCCTCTCCCAATCGCTCTCCCTCTACCTTTCCCTCTCCCTCTCCAGATTCAAATGGGATCCTACACCTCTTTACCTCTACAGAGAGATAGAAATCCTTGGGGGGCAAAAGGTATGGAGACAGCTGTGGGACATCTTAGTTGCTATAATAATGTAACAGAATTTAGGAGTCAGAGCCCACAGACTCTACCACCAATGCAGCCAAGCCTTAGGGGCTATTTGCACAGGTTTTAAAAATCCAAGTATTTTGAAGTGCAAATCATGCTTTTGGTAAACCAAGGCTGTGGTTTCACAGTAAAGTGTCGAGTACAAATAACCACTAAGGGATTGCTGCCTCTCTCTGCAGTGAGGGGCAGGAAGGGGTGAAATCAGGATTTTTCTCTTCATCCCTTTTATAGCCTGTGTGTTTTCACACATACTGGGCTCTCTTGTAAAAGTTGCAGCATTTGAAAATAAGGCTTCAGATAACTTTCCATTGCTGAGTGGAGCAGCAGGGAGAAACCATCACTGCTGGCTGGCAGGAGTGCAGAATGCACAACTGGCGAGATGGAGCCTTGGGAAAACCTTCCTTTGTACACACACACACAGTCTGCTGATGCATCCCAAATACTGTCTTTGATGAATAATTTGCAGGATATCCATAGAAAATGAAATGTTAAGAAATATCCATCTAGTTCAAATGTCTTGAGTATGTAATACTTGGGCAAAAAGAGCCTGAAGCAATTCCCAGGTGAAAAATGGTCATCCAGCAACCAGTTCTTGGAAATGGTTCTTCAAAAGCTGCTGAGGAAATGTAAGAAAAAGTAAAATGTTAGAGCCAAAGTAAATCTGTGTTAAGATACACGTTGCTTTATAGATGCTAGCAAAGTGTTCATCTGGCTTATTAATAATATCAACTGTAATATTTCATTTAGAATTTAATATAAAGGCAACTGATTGCAAGACACAAACAGATTCACCAACCTAGAGGAATTAACCTTTTTATGAAACTATGTTGCACACATGAAATCAGCTGAAAATGACTTAGCAAGAACTAGCTTCCAGCTTGCTGACTGAACTCATGATTAAATCGTGATTAAAGCTGGTGACTTGAGCATCTGCCAGTCCACAATTTGGTCCCCCCTTGAAAAAAGGAGGGACTATTTCTGGCAGGGGCTATTTCATCACGTTGGTACCAGGGGATGTGTGGACTCAGATGAGGAACAGTTCCCATGATTTTCTTTAGTGCCTTGTAATGTTTACCATTGACTTTAAGGCTATTGCTTGGAGTCATATGATATGATGAGATTTGCAGTCCGCTTGGTTTTGTAGCTGAATGCAAGTTCCTGTGTCTGGAAGTCAAGGAGGAAAACTCAGCCGCGTGACCTCAGTTCTCTCAGAAGATAAGTGTACTGAAAAGAAATAGAAAATGAAACCTGCCCTCTGTGGAGGAGGCTGTGGAGGGGGAGGGGAATGGTATTAGGCAGAGTAGCAAGTTTGAGGCAGCAGTTCAAGATACTGACCCCATCGGTAGACCCTGCAGTGTATCAGATCATTCTGTCACAGGTAGAATCCCCCCTGATTTCTCCTGGGACCCCCACCTTCCTCCCTGACTTGGCACCCAAAAAGCCTCAAGAATGCTCCATGTCCTTTCCATCCCTGTACCTCCAAACCCATCAGGACCCTCATTCACTCTCCCCATCTCAGCACACTAAGCTCTCCTGGGATGTCCCCAGTTTGGCACTCCCCATCCTCAACAGAATCCCCAGCTCAGCATCCCAAACCCCACTGGGACCGCAGCCCAAACTCCCCATCACTGCACCACAAACTTCACCGGGACCCTCCAACCTCAATCCTCAAAGGGATACCTGTACCACTCCCTATCCTGGCACCCCAAACCCTACCAGGACCTCCTCCATCCTGGCACCCTGATCCCTAACAGCATTCCCCAAACAACTCACCCCATCTTAGTTTCTCAAATCCCACCAAGAACCCCTCAACCTGGCACTTCAGACCTCAACGGGACCCAAGTCCAAACTCCCCATGCCAGCACCTTAAACCCTGCCAGGACTGCCACAACCCAGCACTACAATTCTCACTGGGATGCCCAATTACCCTCTCCATCCCAGCACCCTAAGCCCCCCAAGGACCACAATCTATATTCCCCATCCTGGCACCCCAAGCCCTAGTGGAACCCCCCATATCTGATACCTCAACTTCCACTGGGACATCTACCCATCTTCCCCATCCCAACACTCTAGATTCTGCCAAGACACAAGCATAGATTTTCTATCCCGGCACCCCAATCACCACCAAGTCCCCTCCACCCCCACCCCTACTGGACATCCCTCGAGCCCTTCCCATTCCCAACCCTAAATCCATTCCACACCCACATTCACACTCAGTACTATTCCGGTACCGATCCCTATGCCCATCTCCATCCTTGTCCCCATCACCACTCCCATTCCCACGCTCACCCGTGTCCCTGCCCATCCCACCCCCGGGTGTGGCCGCCGGCAGAGGGGCGGGGGCGCGGAGCAGCTTTGTAGGCAGCGGGGCGGTCGCGTTCCGTTCCTCGCTGCGCTGCGCTCCGCCCGGTCATGGCCGCGTCCCGTCCGACTCAAGGCTGCGGCAGCGGAGCGCTGCTGGGCCGCTTCGGAGTGCTGCTGCAGGCATTGCTGGCACTGTGCGCCTTCTGCACGCTGATGTGTGAGTACCTCCGTACCTCCGGGCTGTTATTAGGGCGAGGTTTCGGGGGAAGCTCTTTGCTTAGAGAGTGGCGAGGCACCGGCACGGGCAGCCCGGAGAAGTTGTGGATGCTCCGTCCCTGGAGGTGCTCGAGGCCGAGCTGCACGGGGGTTCGGCGACTTACCGTTAGGCTGCAGCTGGGGGGTTGGAAGCGGATATTCCTTAACAAACTATTCTGCCAGATAACCCTTCTAGTAGGGTCTCGCAGCCCGTTTGCTGGCACTGCTTGGAGCTTCGCGTCGCTTTTAATGATTTTTTTTTTTTTTCTCCAGACCTGTAGGAGAAGGGACGGCAGCAGCTCGCAGCCGGCAGTTAGGGCGCCAGATGCTCTCTCGTAAAACTGTTGTTCCGAGCCTTTATCTGATGGTAATGAGGCACCACGGAGTCGCGGCTCTGATGTGCGAGCTCAGTGGCTTAGAAAATTTTAATGAAGGGTGGAAGCCAACGGTGTAGGCAGGAAGAATGTGACAAAAAATAGGATGGGCATCAGGTACGGTGCTGCTTGGTTAGAATAATAGCTCCTCTAATTGCACTGTGATGTCGTTTTGCTTAACTTTCCCTTAAAACACGAAGTTTTTTGGGTTGAGTGCTGTTTGCTGGGGAGGGAATGTAACAAGAGAAAGCAGTGAGAAGAGGTGAGGGCACTGATGCTGCAAGACTTGAAAAAATCATTGCTGCTGTGCCCCAGCTGTGCTGTGCTTGGAGCACCGTGGGTGCTTCTCCTTGGGCTTAAGTGATCTAACAGAAGCCTCAGTCTGTTCTCCTTTTTTTAAAAGCCTGCAGTAATTAAAGCTTCCAGTTGAGTTGAGGAGCCACATGTCTTGAATCTCTGTGCTGCCTGGACTCCAGTGTTTAATGCCAGTCAGCTTGTGAAAGCTGCAACAAGTTCTTCCTGTGGCAGCTGATAGCTTTTTCCAGTGGGAGTAATGACATTGCAACACTTCACGGCCTGTATTTCACTGAACATTAACAGTAAGAGCAGCCTACTTTGTTGTTTCTGTTGTGTTTTTTTTTTTTCTTTGTGTTCCTGTAGTGGGGGAGGCTATGTGTTAATTGACCCATAAACCACAGGGGATACCTTGTGAAATAAAGGGTATTAATTATCAAAATACTCCCACAAATGAAAGCATGGGCTCAATTATTTGCCAGCAGTAGCTAAGAATGTTGTTCTCCCCCTGATGCAAGAGCTAATATAGTCTTGCAGAACTTCCTGAGTTGGAAGGGACCCATCAAGTCCAACTCCTGGTTTCACACAGGACCGCACAGGCAGCTCAGTGCCGTGCCCACTGCCCTGGGCAGCCTGTTCCATGCCGACTGCCCTCTGATGCAAAGCTTTCCCTAACTCCCCCTGCCCCTTCCCTGACACAGCTCCATGCTGTTCCCTCAGGCCCTGTTGCTGTCACAGAGAGCAGAGCTCAGTGCTGCCCCTCCGCTCCCTGTGAGGAGCTGTGGGCAACCGTGAGGCCTCCCTTCAGCTTCCTGTTCTAGGCTGAACGAACCCAGGGACCTCAGCTGGAGAATGAGGATGCTCATGTCCAAGGATATGAAGAGCAGCTGAGCATCCTCTTGGTTAATTAGGGAAAAATCCAAAAGCTCTTCTTGAGTGGTTTCCTTGTGAATCTGCTCAGTGGCTGAAGATGAGCCCCTAGATGCGAATAGGTTTCCAGCCCTAGGCTCCTGATGGTAGATCATCCCCTGGCTGCCCCTAATTCCCATCAGGTGTTCTTTATCTACAGCTCCTTTGCATACTCTCAGGTTTTCTGTTAGGGCTGGCTGTGTGCAGCCTCTTTAGCCCACTGTAGCTGTAATTGGTTTACCAAAGACTTTGTTAGGGTATAACATGCTTTAAGGCTTCTTTTGGGAGTGGCCTATTCAGCTGCAGTACCTGGATAGTGGTGGTTTGCAAACAGTGTATGTAGGGGAAATCAAACTAATGCTGATGTTGTGTTGGATAAGGCTTTGCAGGTGCTTAGCCATGGAATGTGCTTGCAAGAGTACGGTCTACAGCAGGATGGATATTTTTATGTTGTTATAAGAAGAATTTGTGACTTCATGTTTCTTTTACTTGGGGCTACAGGAAGCCTGAAAAAGAATATGCTAATCTCAGGGAAAGTGGTAATGCACTCAAAACAGGCTGCCCAGGGAGGTGGTGGAGTCACCATCCCTGGAGGTGTGCAGGAAACATGGAACTGTGACACTGAGGGACATGGTTTAGTGGGCATGGTGGGGATGGGTGGGTGATTGGAATAGATGGCCTTAGTGATTCGATGTGGATCTGTGACATGGAGTGTGAAGTTTTAGTAGAACAACCCACTATGTTCTTTGAGGCCAATTTCACCTCTTGCAAAGGGTATTAGAAAGCCCTTTAGATCAAAGGTTCACGAGGAAGAAATAGTGCTTCATTATAGGATGAAGGGAGTGATTGCTCCCCACTGCTCCACTTTGTGTTTTAAATGGGTCCTCCATGTGGCGTAAGCAGGATCCACAGGTAGATGATGCCCAGCTTAATGTGGTTTAGCTTGGAGAAGAGAAAGCTCTAGGGAAACATTGCTGTGTCCTTGCAGTGCTTGAAGGGAGCTTATGAGCAGGAGGGGGAGCAACCTTTTATATGGCCTGGTAGTGACAAGACAACAGGGAATGGCTTTAAATGGAAAGAGGAGAAACTCAGGCTAGATGTTAGGAAGAAATTCGTTATTTGGAAAGTGGTCAGGCACCAGCATGGGTTACTCAGAGAAGCTGCGCGTGCTCATCCTTCAGAGGGCTCAAGGCCAGGTTGGATGGGATCCTGGGCAGTCTGATCTGGTGGTTGGTGACCCTATGCAGGGCAGGGGGTTGAAACTGGATGGTCTTTAAGCTCACTTCCAACCCAAGCCATTCTATGGTTAGGATCACCACTATTACAGCACTGAGGAAAGTATTTGTTGGAGCTTACAAATACTCTAAACGACTCTATCCTGTCTTTAAGGCTGTAGTCAAGCTCCTCTGCAGTGTTGTGCAGGGCTTGCTCTAATTTAGTAATCAAATGAGAATCAGATGTAATCCTTCCCAGCTGCCTGCTCCTTCCAGAAGGACTCTTGCTAAGAGAATTAAGTTGTGAACACTTGGTTCTGCAGCCTCTTTTTTCCTTACAGCTGTGGTTGGCAATCTAGCTTCCTGGGCAAGAACTTGTCCTTGGGGAAGCCGTGATGTGGATAATTCAGCAATCCCATCTGAAGTAGTTGTCAGTGTGTAGCTTTTGAGTGAATTTTGCAGTTGCTGCATGTGATGTGAGGGTTGCTGAAACTTGTCACGTGGACACCAAATCCCTTAGAAAGAGAAGGCAGAGTCTTGAATAGATACCTTAGTCATGTTTTTCCTTTTAGATTAACAGGGGACAAGTGAAACAGATCTGGGGAGTCATTTAAGAACATTTCTCTTCTGTTTACCTCTCCTCCTAAAGCTTTTTAAGCAGCCTTCTGAGCTCTTGAATGAGGCTTAGGAGCATTTGTGCTATGGCAGTGTTTTGTGGTTTGGCTCAAGTGGTTGGTCCTGAGGTAGGACTGTGGAATAGCAGCTCGACCATAAAAACAAACAGTAGCTCTCAGCTGTGGAGGGAAATACTGGTAAAATCATAGAATGGCTTGGGTTGGATGGGATCCCAAAGATCATCTCGTTCCAACCCTCTGCCTTGGGCAGGGTTGTCACCCACCAGATTGGGCTGCCCAGGGCATCATCCAATCTGTCTATGGTCATTTCCAGCCATGGGACATCCACAGCTTCTCTGGGCAGCCTGTGTGAGTGGCTCACAATCCTCTATGTGGAAAGGCTTGGATTTCCTTATACTGAGGGGTAGGTGGAAGGAATAGAACTTAACTCAGAAGGGTTCTGCCCTATTGCAACTCAAATTTGTTGCTGCACGTGCTTTAGGTTGCTGCACTGTTTCTGTGCTTCAGAACTATCTTACATGCTTCCCATGTGGTGTTCCAGCTTTTATGCTGAGTATATCTAGGAAAAAAAGTGGGTTGAAGTGTGCGTGTACATCAGGAAAGAGAACTTAAATGATAGATTGCTGGATCTGTGCAGACTTGCATTCTGTTGATTTTAATAAACTTGTCCAGGGCATGAGAGTACTACACTGCCATGCCTGGGATGGGCTATGCTGACTTTGCTTCCTTTAACATGGGAACATGGCTGTGTTTGATTTGATTCATTATACTGAAATAGGGACTTTACCACTCTCTCTTGTGGGGAAAAATAAAACCACAAAGATTTACAGCCTGGAAGAGGTGTGAAGCACAGGGCTGTGGCTCTGGTAGTCTGGGTCTGCATGTAGGTTTGCAAGTTAAGCAAGAAGCTACATATGGCAGGACTCCTATGACTTCTTTCCTTCCGCTTCAATACATGTGAAAACTGGCTGAGCTTGAAAACATGCGTTGTGCTTTGTAAGCTGGAAGGACCATGTGGCATTTAATGTGCTTCATTAAGCAAAGCACAGCTTTCTATGGAGCTTTTGAATTTGAGTTGTTGATTACGTTGACCTCCTCTTGGATGTCACCTTCTGAGCTGCTAAACCAAGTG